GAGGAGGGTGAGGAAGAGGAGGAGGGTGAGGAGGAGGAGGAAGAGGAGGAGGGTGAGGAAGAGGAGGAGGGGGAGGAAGAGGAGGAGGGGGAGGAAGAGGAGGGGGGGGAGGAGGAGGAGGGGGAGGGGGAGGAGGGGTTGGGGGGGCCCATCCTGTGGCCATCTGGGGTTGGGGGTGGGGGGGATGTGGGGCTGGGGACACACACACACACACATGGGGATTCAGTTCCTTCTCATGGTGTCCTGAAGCCACCAGGTGTATTTGCAGAGGTTGACGTAGACGCCGGGTTTCTTGGGGTCCCCGCAGATACCCGGACCCCAAGAGACGATACCTTGGAGCCGTCCGTCGCACATGAGAGGTCCTCCGGAGTCACCCTGAGGAGGTAAGAAGAGGTGTGTGGGGCGGGGGACGGGGGATGGGATGGGACACGGGGACCAACCCCCCAAAGGATCCCCCTCACCCCATATCTGGGGTGGTTTCAGGGCTACTCCGGTATCTCCACCCACAAAATCCCACCAAAGTCTGCAGAAGGAGAGTTCTTCTCGTTCTCTGGCCAACGGTGGCCCGGGGTGGGTGGTCCTCATCGGGGTGGGGTGGGAGAGGTGAAAGAACCTCCAGATTTACCCCAGGTGGGGGTAATTTGGACCCCTTCCGCTCCCGCTGAGTCACCGGGGAAGTTTCTCCCCTCTGGGATGGGACGTTTTCTCCCCAAATCATACGTTGACCCATGGAGACGGAGGCACCAAGATGGTCTCCTCCCCTCCCCACCGCCCCCAGTGACACCCCTCTCACTTCCCACTTTGCGCCCCCAAAGCCCCCTTAGGTGCTGCTGGTCCGTTCTCCACCCCCAAAAAACTCTTCCCTGGTGGCACCTCGTGGTCCACCACCACAGTCCACGACCACCACCGGTGATGGACCGGACCTTCTACCCACCTGGCAGGAATCCGCCCGACTGCGGGACTCCCCCGCGCACACCATGTTGGGGGTGATGGAGTTGGGGTAGATACGGCGGCACTGTTCTTCCGAGACGATGGTGACTTTGGTGCAGTGGAGGTCCTCGGGGAAGTTGACTGTGGGTGACGGAAGGCACGAGGTCACCCTAGGGGAGGTGGTGGTGGTGGTGGTGGTGGTAGGGAGTGACAGACCGAATGATTCCAACCCGGCCCCAACTTGGACCTCTCGTCCTCTTTACCCCAGAGCTCAACCTTCCTCTTCCTCTTGGTGGCACCAAACAGGAGCTCCAAGACCTTCTGGTGACTTGACCGGCTCACCCAGACGCCGGCTTCCCTTGGGGACCTAACCCTTGTTAGAGGAAGACCGAAGGGACTGGGAGAGGGAGGGTTTTTTTGGGGGGACACACACCTGGGTCCTTGAGGAGAAGACACACATCTAGAAGTTAATCCCACCCCAGATGCGTGGGTTCCTCCGGGAACCGTTCTTACCTTCAGGGCTGGTGGTGGACCCCCAACCCGAGATCTGGCAGGTCTTGCCGGGCACGGGGCAGTGAGAAGCCAACGGCAGCGGCTTCACCTGTTTGTTGACGTGGACGGGGAGGAACAACTTGATGAGCATCAGGTCGCCATCTTTGTTGGTCTCGTTGTAACGTGGGTATTTGAAGACCTTGGCTGAACGACGTCGTTGTTCGGTGTTACCCGAATCTTTGTGGTTCCGGCCCCCCAACCGTACGTTGATGAAACTGATGGAGCCAAAGACGCAGCGGGTTGGTGGGGAGGGTTGGGGAGTCCACGTTGGACACGGGGGGACCACGGAGACCCACACAAAGCAGAGGAGGCAGAGTCAGAGCCGCGGTGCCAGAAGGCGGTGAGAAGGGCAGAAGAAGCAAAAAGAGGAAACGGGGCAGAATTAAGGACGTGGCTTCTCCACCCCCCACCCCCCCCCCCCACAAAACACAAAAGGGGC